CCCCCCCCACACACACACACACACACACACACACAGCCAAACCACAATCATCCAGCTAATGGACTGGGCGCATGTGCTGTAGCCGGATTTATATTTCATCCCAGACAGGGGCCAACAGGTCCATTACTGGCGGGGAGATAGTGATTGTGATTGGAAGAAGAAGAAAGGGGCAGGGACACGGCTGCAGGCTGTTTTTTTTTTTTTTTTTTTTCCACGGCTGCAGGCGTACTGCGGCAGCAGCAGAGCGGCATGACGTGGTAGTGGAGTAAGTTGTCACATATGGAGACACACACACACACACACACACACACACGGTTGCATCTCAGTGGACCGTGTGCAAGAGGTAGACTGAAGAGTAGCAGAGACAGCGTTTGAGGCAGACTCACTCAGCAGCATGCAGATTGGAGGCAAACTCACTTGCTACTTCGAGTCCTGATGCTTACATCAGGTGAGTGTTGCCTTGTGCTTGTTTTACATTAGATGTTGTTCAGCATCTTCTTTCAAATGTACTAACTTATAGTCGTTATAGTATTTCTTTACCAGTCGTACTTCACGCTCAAATTTGCCAAAGTGTTTGTGGTTGATTTAGGGAGAGGTGATTTGAAAAACAATGACATTGAACAGAGATGAAAAGAGGAGGGTGGGCAAGACATGATGCCATCGGCCTGAGTCAGCTTCATATTGACTGCCTTATGAGTCAGTGTGACACATTGTGTCCATCTGTGACAAATCAGATCGATCTCGATCAAGTCAGAGTCTCACTTTGGTCTTGTTAGCGTGAGTACACTGATCAGTGTGGGGTTGCTGGTCCTGAAAATTTAGCTGACTCATTTTTGGTGTCTGTGAAAACTGAATTGATTGTTTTGCCATTTCACTGCATCCCAAGTCTCAAGAACCATCTCAGGAATTCCTGTGGTTGAGTTCTGAAAAAGTGCTCCAACAATTCTGAAACTGACACGTGTCATCGAAGGTCATTGTATAGTTGTCAGTTGAAGCTATTTTTGTGTGTGAGACATGATTTTACTGCTAAATGAGCAGAAGACTGGCTTTGCACAGGAAAGTGACTTGAATGAGTCACTTTAGTGCGGGCTTCTCTGTGATTGGCTCATAGGGTTGTTTCTGTTTGTCACAGCTTCCTGTCTTGGTGAATGGTTAGATTCTGCAAGCCAATGACTGGGCAGCTGCGCGGATGCAGCAGTGATCCAGGAAAAAACAGCCCATTGTTCCTGGGACGTCAGACAAGTGTGACCTCCCTCCCTGCCCTCCGCCAAAGACATAGGACCCTGCTGGCAGGTAGGACAATCTTTTGGGTCACGGGGTTTGGCGTGTTTTTTTTTTTTTTTTTTTTTTTTTTTTTTTTTAATATCATCAACGGCTCTCCTATGTCTCATCTCATGTCTTTATTAACATGTTGTCACATCCAGGAACACAGTGTTCCACTTGTGTCACAAAACGAGCAAGTTACTAATTAAGGAAGGCCAATTGTGACGGTGTTGTTGTGATTCGTCATAGGGATGTAATTACCATCATATTGTAGAAAAAAAACTACACAGTGACAGATATCCAGCACTCAACCTGATATCAACTGATGTCCTTCAGTTCACAGACTGAGGCATGTGGTACTGGCTCATGTGTTAACTGTGTGATGAGTCAGTGTTCATCACAAGGTTGTCTGTGTGTGTGTGTGTGGGGGGGGGGCAGGAGGGGGGGGCTTGTGATTCTGTGAGCCACAATTTCAGTGAGACCTTGTTTGTAAATTAATTCATTTTGTTATCTTCTCATGCAATGCTTTATTTATAACAGGCCCAAATTGTTTCAGGAATACCGTAGCAAAAGCTATTGCTGTTGACATAATGTCCAGCAGATGTCAGTATCATACTCACGGATTTATGATCATGGCGGGAGATTTGTGCCACAAGTACATGAAAGTCATGGGAAATACAAAAATACGACATATCACTTGTACTTCCATCCATCCATTTTCTAATCTGCTCATCCTCACAAGGGTCGCGAGCTTGCTGGAGCCTATCCCAGCTGTCTTTAGGCAGCAGGTGGGGTACACCTCACCGGGCACACATAGACAAACAACCATTCGTGCTCACAATCACACTTTGGACAATTTGGAGTGTCCATGCATGTTTTAGGAATGTGGGAGGAAACCGGAGTACCCGGGGAAAACCCACACACTGGCACGAGGAGAACATGCAAACTCCACGAAGGAAGACCGGAGCCGGAATCAAACCCTGCACCTCTGCACTGTGAGGCCGGCGTGCTAATCAGTTGACCAGCGTTCCGCTCTCACTTGGACTTCTTTTTAAAAATTTGGTTGGAAATATAATCTCGAGTCAAATAGAAAAAAATTTTGCAACGCCTTTGTTCACTGTGCTTTTTATAGCCGGGAACACCACAAGTACTTTTATGCCTGCAGAGTATTTGTCTACAAAGCATCAAAGACATGTAGTTGGAACGTACTTATATAACTGTGACTTAACAGTTGTAGCCAATTTCCTCATTGCCAAATTAGTTTGACCTTGAATTTGAAGTTGCCTTTTTGTTTTGTAGTGGGAAAAGTGTATGATTTTTTATTTTTATTTTTTGGCATCTTTTGGATGCTCCACCAATAGCTGTATACCTTTTATATACTTTGTGGCTGCACTAGTATGAGTCACAAAGAGAAAACTTCAACCAAAACAACGTGTCACAAATCTATCCACTTGTGAGTGAATGAATTAGATCAACGTAAAACAAATTAAGAATAACAAATAAATGTTCTCGTTTTTAATGCAATATTATTTTCCTCATATTTTCATATTGTTTTTCTGGCCTTAAATGCAGCTTTTAAAAACATTTCTGATGGCTGCTAACACAAAATCTTTCTCCGGTTCCAGTGACATCATATTTTACATGCTGAAACGCTTATGCTAACCCCGCCCCCCAAGTCTCCTGGTAATAAATTTTATGAGGCAGATCAAATCATTTTGCAATCGCTTTCTCTCCCAGATGTTGTGATCCGTCATCAGTTTTCTGTTTCCTTCTTTTTTCTCATTTCTCATCTCTCCGCCTCCCAGCTCCCTTTTCTCCTACAAGGATGCGAATGATACTCTATTACGTTGAAAGCTTTTACTTGAGTAAGATACACACTGCTTCTATTGGCTCTTACAGTTCTTGAGAGCTTTTGGTATTTCCGAACGGGACAATGAGGAGCATTAAACCCAGTGAATAGCAGGACTGGAATGAAAATCGGGTAGACTGGAACGTGCAGAAAGAGAGCAGTGTGTGCTTTTCATTTGATTATGTTGAAACAATCAGCTATCTGAGTACTTTTTAGCTGTTGCCATGAGTATCTGCCTATACACTGGACTTGGATTGCTGTTTGCTGCTTTGTTTGCAGAAGAGCAAGCAGGCAAAATTGATTGCGCGCTTGCTCTAAAGTTGTGCTAAAAACAGGCTTAACTTGTGGCTGCCTTAATGATTCTGTTTCTCATATGTGCTTGCTTCACATGCAGAAGTTTCACCCTGTGTCAGGAATTGATGATTCAATTTTTGTACAAAACATCCTGAGTAACGCATCTGGTTTCTCCTTGGCTTTTGTGACTTCCCCATTAGGTCATTATGAGCGGGGGCGTCAACGTCAGGTCCACCCTTCAGCCCCCTACCCCATCGGGAATCCCGCTCCCACGCGCGTCTTTACCCGTCTCCCACAAAACGGACAGGCACCAAAGGATCAGCGAGCTTCCCAGGGCCTTGACGCCCACCTCGAGACGTACACCCTCACACACACCCACTCAATCTCCATTACTTTGCCCTCGGAGCTCCAGGTTACCTAAGTCATCCGGCAGGGACATTCCGACAAATGTTGGCCTGAAGCCTCCACTCGTCCATCAACCAGGTGGTCAACATGCTTGCCAGACTTCTTCCTTAGCCTACAATAGTCCACTGACTCAGCGCCGTGTGCCTCTGCCACACTCCAAAGACAGTCTGGATCTTGGAAAGCCCACACAGATTCAGACGGATTTTTCACTTGATGGGAATTGTAATAGAAATCTATGCACAAATCAAAACCAAACATGGGGTCCCACCAGCCGACGTCCTCCGCTCCAGTTCAGCAGAGGAGAGCATTCCACTTCCAGGGTGATTAATAATGCCGTGCCAGGAAGTGGGGAAGAGGCTCCAAAATTGGACCCAGCCCAGTCATGTATCTCCGACAATGGCAACAACTACCAACCTCCCGCTCAAACTATCCATCAGGACAGCGTCAACGGTGTCAGTGTCAGCGGTGTCGGTGACTGCGCTGCCCAATCGGATGAGGAGATGGGGACGCCGGAGGATTCAAGTCCAGCTTCCTCTTCCAGTCTTCCGCTGCTTCCACCAGGCATGCCTGCCATGCCTGCGACATGCAAGCGATCTTTAGAGACGCAAAAAGAGTCCGCTACCTCCGAAACGCAAGCTCCGCGAGTCAACATGGCGGCAGTTGCGCCTTTCAGCTTCAGGTTGGCGGTACTCATTCACACACAGTCACCAAGCCATCAGCTGTGACCCATTGTTACTTATATTTCGAGCTACAGACATATTTTATATTTCTCCGCATGACCTCCCATTGTACAGACCACCTAATACCCACTCAGTGTAATGAACAGGAGTCCCAGAGGCTTGTGGGATTCCAGTCTGATTCTTATGTACATGTATTCTACAACAAATCATACACGCAACCATGAACACACTCGGTGTCCACAAGAAAGCCTTTAAGGCAGGTTTTCGTACTCCCTCAAGATAACCAAATGAAGAAAATAATATAAATGCTGCTTGCTGATTGTAAGATGTCAGTACAATGACAGATGTGTTCCGTGTGTTATGTTGACAGGCTGCAGGTGCAGGATGGTGATTTCTCACTGGATGAACTGAGTGACTGTTCATCTGGATCCATAGAGATCTGCTGCGATGACCTGACACCAGGTTAGACAAATTCACTCTTCAAATACAATTGTATGAACTAGCCTAGCAGTTTAATTCTATCTGCCCAGTCGAGTTGAGCGCACTAAATGGCTAAGAGATGGATTTCTGTCATGTCTGAGTGCTACATTTTAGCAGCAAGACACATTTATTGTGACAGTCATACACGTCTTGCCAAACGCTGATATAAGACTCGCATTGTTGGACCTGAATATGCGAAGGGTTGAGCAGCCTCAGTCCAAATAAATGTCCCTTTCTCATCATGCTTTGGCCGCCATGTCTGTCGTAAGGTGGCACAATTTGGAATGTGTGCCTCAGCCCGCAGCTATGCTGACTGCACTGGGTCAAGATGAAGCGATGGAAAGTAGAGTGCTTGGAAGATGACAGTGGTGATGTGGGTCAGTAATGTGATGAAAAGGGTGCACTCACTGCGAGGCAGCGTTACTGGCACATTGGTTTCAACTTTTGAACCCATCCTCCTCTCTTACCGTCTTCTGTCTACATGTATTGTGTATATAATGTTCACCAGGCGGCCCGGTGGCCCAGTGGTTAGCGCGTCGACCTCACAGTGCATAGGTACCGGTTTCAATTCCAGCTCCGGCCTCCCTGTGTGGAGTTTGCATGTTCTCTCCAGGCCTGTGCGGGTTTTCTCCGGGTATCCCGGTTTCCTCCCGCATACCAAAAACATGCACGGCAGGTTAATGGAACACTCTAAATTGTCCCTAGGTGTGAGTGTAAGCGCGGATGGTTGTTTTTCTATGTGTACCCTGCGATTGGTTGGCAACCAGTACAGGGTGTACCAGGCCTACTGCCCGAAGACGGCTGGGATCGGCTCCAGCTTCCCTACGACGCGTGTGACTATAAGTGGATTGGAGAATGGATGGATGATATTCACCTCAAAATGTCAAGTTTTTCATCATTTATTGTTTCAAGGCACCTATTTACATTAGAAAAATGTTACGGAACACCACCGAACAAAAATGTCACAAAAAATAGGACTACAGTGATCCCTCGCTATTTCGCGGTTCGTTTATCACGGCTTCAGTGCATCGCGGATTTTTTCAAACATATTCATTAAAAAAAAATATATATATATATATTTTTTTTTTTCATATACATGTAGTACAGTACTGTACTGTATATGTTGCTCTATGTGACTCTCTGTTGTTTTGCTGACTTTCGCAGCTTCTCCCGGACCGTTTGCGGACTTTTTGCGGACTCAAAATAAAAAATTTTATAAAAACTTTTTTTTTTAAAAATATGTTTACTGTATTTTGTTACTCATAAACTCACCTAACTTATACATATTTAAATTTATTAGTATACAGCATTAAGTCATGTTAATTACTTCAAAATTTACTTCTACATGCATGTATACCATTAAATTTGGCCTTAAATATATTATGTTCATGTACCTATATGGAGGCTGATATATGTACAGAAAACCATGACCAAACTAACCAGATGGAGAAAAAAAAACTTTCTTGTCCTCTTTGACCATCTCGCGGAACAGCCTTTAATTTTTCTGCCTGTCAATATACATGACTGGCATAGATAGATCGACAAAGATATATTGGTAATGAAAAATACACATTTTTGGAGAAATTAAGTGGAATTGGATAATTTCCCGTGGCAACCCTGATGGTCTCTTAGGGCACAGCAGTGTGCCACGGCACCCTGGTTACTGCTCTGTTGGACAAGGGACATATTAACCAAACATAAGTGTGGACACCACAATATGTGGCAGTGTCGCATGATAGAAATGTCAAAAATAGTCTTTTATTGCATCAGTATTCCTGTATGTTAAACCACACATTTGATGATGTTGGGTTGAGGTGTTCTTTTGTAGCCTTTTTAAAACTCTTCTGTTGATTGGTGGTGGGAACTCGTGATGGAGCATACAAGGCCTCTTGCTGTCTTTGCATGATGGATTTGATCATGATCTTGGAAATTGATCTTTCACCGGGGTTTGAAGGGCATCCAATGTGTCTTAGAGCAGTCACAAGGCAAATTTTGCACATGGTGGGATGGGAAAAAAATAACACTGTAAGGAAGAGAGAGGAAGAGCACGTCATGGCAACCGAGTCAATCACTACAAATGAGTTCTATATCTGCTCATATTAAAATAAAAACAACCTTTATCATTTTCTGACCCTGATAAAGACATGGACATTAAATGTGTCTGTAGCACCATATGGTGGGTCAATTTGACCTGAGTCTTACTGACCTTGCCACTCTCTAGAGTTCGTGTGCGTGTGTGTGTGCGCGTGTGCATGTGTGTGCGTGTGTGTGTTTGTGTGTGTGTGTGTGTGTGTGTGTGTGTGTGTGTGTGTGTGTATCTCTGTGATGTGTGAGTAAGTGAGATGGATGGATGGATGTCTGACCATCCACAGATGATGTTTTGCAAGTTTGAATGTTTGGTAGATCAGAACTTTTTCCAGAAAGGGAATTGTCTTTCCATATCTCTGTCTTTCTTGCATGCACACACACCCAAGTTATAATTTATTTCTGGTCCCAGAATACTCTTTTTTTAAGGGTATATAACATATGCACAGAAAACTGACTTATATAAAAAAACACACCCACACCCACACCTACACACACACTCAGACACACACACCTACATACCTGGTTATAATCGGCGGCATCATTTGCACCTCAGATCATGGGAATCAGTACTATGAATGATGAAATTGCTCTTTTTATTTTTATATCGGCTTGAATTGTCAACATCAAACATTAACATTGTGTGCTCTTAATCGGGACACAGTAATGGATGCATTAGTTTGAATGTGAGGTGGAAGAGGAGAAAGGTGGCTTGAATGACTGCTGATACTCCAAATCCCTTTCGACCTCAGGGGTCACTCCCAACGCGGGGAGTCAAGTTATGGCAGAGTCCATCATGTGACAAATCCACCGTCATACGCGCCCTGCTGTAACCAAGCAACCAGCACAGGCATTGTAGCATTGGTGGGACACCCCCGGGGAGTGCAATGAGAACGTCAACACGAAGCCAACCGCAAGAGTACAATTGAAAACAGTCAAAAACAAACATTTTGTCTTTTTTCCCAAGATGCCAGTTGTTGTGGAGCTTTGCATGATTCATAATGTGTGTGTGTGTGTGTGACATTCATCATGCTGTTTTTGTTAGGTTCACATTTTATGCCTCCCAGATACAGTTGCGCTATTGTCACGGATAGGCTGCCTTTAAGTGCCTGAATTCCCCGAATGCTTCAGCCATTGAGTCATGCTGTATATTCTCACTATCCTCATTCATGAGTCAGTGCATCCCGAATGTTTGTTTTCTCAGTATTTGGCCTACAAAGTGGACCCTAATAGTCATGTTAAGTGTGAGTGTAGCTATGCGTCAAAGCCGAGTATTCATTGCGATGTCCGGTGGACCCCCGAGCATTAGCGTGCAGCAGACATAAGCAAGCCAAGCAGGAGGCAAAGCCGTGAGGCAGGATATCCCCTCTCTGTCTTATATGCTTCCTCTGCTTCTCTGGCTCACACACATAAGATCCTTCCTCACCCTGGCCTCATATTCCTTGTCTTCCTCCTCCGATGAGTTTATTCAGTCCAATCTCATTTGTTTTGAGAGCACGCTCTGCGTTCTTGCTGTGCATCTTCACTCACACTTGTAGTCATCATCCCTTTCTTCTCAGGACTACACCCTCGCTTCAAGCTTGTCACACCCCCACCCCAGTCCCCATATTCACACTCAAAAAGAAATGGAATGACATATTTCTCGCTTATGCGCCTGCGTATGCAACCTTATTTTCAGTAACGCCGTGATCGGCTGTTGCAGATAAGACTGGCCATCAATCAAACAAAAATGACATCACTGTTTCTTTATATTTGTTATGTTTTAGTGATAAGTAACCCAACATTTGTAATTCACAACACAAAAATCGCGACTATGCTAAAAAAATAATCGTAACAATGATAAAAACTTTACTTTTGGATATCCGTGCCTCAAACGGGGGGTGGGGGGATACAACTCTTGGTGGCCGGGCAGCGGCTGGATTGATCGTTAGTGAAATGGATGTCCGTAGGTACTTTGTTATGTAACTGACTGTCACAGTCATCTCTGCATTTCGAAACTGCATTTTCTATTTCCTCGGGTAGTCTCTGTGTGATATTAAAATTGGTTTGTTGAACTGAAACCATTGTGTGTGATAAATATGCAAAGAACACAGAAATCAGGAAGGGGCCAACTATTTTTTACCAGCACGGTAACTTATGTCACAGTGCAGCATGTGGACAGACAATCCCACAAACTTGAGGGAACATGTTACCAAAATTGAGAGCAATAGCTCAGTCACTTGCAAAATATGCAAACCTGAGTTCAAATACAATAAAAGCATACCTAAAATAGGAACAATGAAAGAAAAAATGTGCCAAGTTTCTTTGAGCTGTACTAGGATGTCGTGTCTTACAACATGCTATGCAACAAAACACAAGATAAGAACGGCAGGTTCGAAGAAAAAAACATGCGCAAGGCTCCTACCAATAACTTTCTTCAGTGTAATGTAAGTCTTATTTTTCATAGCTTGTTTTTAATGTTTTGTTTGGAAAAAAACGCTCTACTGTGCCGACAAATACAAATAATGTCATGGATTTATCAACTTGGACTTGAATGTCATCACATTACAGTCGACTTCAGAAAGTCTTTAATTGTTTGCCCCCCCCACTGTCGAGATAGACTAGTGAATCTGTTTAAAACTATTCTGAGACACTTTCCTTCCTTCCTTCTGCGCAATTGCGTGTCTCTGCTGCTTGCTCCACGTGTGTGTGTGTGTGTGTGTGTGTGTGTGTGTGTGTGTGTGCGTGCGTGCGTGCATGCGTGCGTGTAAGCATTTTCCCCAGGTCTGAGCCAATTTCCCAAGGTTTTAGCCAGTGGCCAGCCCATTCCACACAAACACAAATATCGAACATGCCGAATGTGTGTGCGATAAGTGATACATTGCAAAGTTAAATACCAAGTGCTGGCATCTGTCGCGCACTCAAGCTGCCAGCTTCTCTGATCTCGGGCCAGATTGCTCAGGTAACTTGCACACTCCCGACAAGCCGTGTGCTGTGTGTATCAACGTGTGTGAGTATAAAGAAAGTATGTTTATGTCCGCTGTATATTAAAATGATTAGTCAGCAGAGTTTAAGAGAGCACTGCAACAAATAAGTAGCTGTGTGCTGTAAACACACCCTGAACACGGTGTGTGTGCTTTTAAAGCACCAGTGAGTGCGTGCGTGTTCCCCCCCTGTGCTACACAGTCCTGCCTTGTTTGCGACCGCTCTCATTTCACAAACCGTAACCCGTCTGGGAGGTATAAGCGCAGATGTACAGCACCTATTAACCTGAAATTGCACCCTTCATCCACAAACTTTTCTGCCACAGGCACCAGCCCCCCCAAACTGTCACTGCACACAGCTTTGACCTCAGTGTGCAGGCTTCAACATTGCCCCTTTGAATAAAGTTTGCTGACTCTAGCTAATGGGTTTAAGCAGACAACAGCCAATGTTCAGTATGTTTTGCATGATCGCTAAATGAACCTTTATCAATCTTCATTAACTATTAATGTGTGTTCTTTATAATGCTCTTGACAACCAGTACCAATCGGAGCTTTTGGACAGTGTTTGGCTTGAATTAATTAGTCTCAAAGTTTTAGTGTCCCTTTGAATCGTTATTTGTCATGCAAGACATTGTTTTTTCCTAATTTTATGCTTCCAGTTTGATGTGGTAAAAGTCTGGGAACATGAGCGTGACTGTGCCCAATTGCCCCAAAGCAAAGTCAACAGTAGGCATGCTTCGATGAGTCTAGTGTGGAAGAAAAACTTGTCAATCCTTGCCTCAATCACAACAGGCGTTAAATGAGTGAGAGGAGAGATTATTTGAGTCTCATCAGTGTCTTCTGACCTCACACCTTCAACGCAGGTTAGAGGTGAGAGCGAAGAGCTGATTGAAGTCTCGAGTGACCAGTAAACAAGCAAATATAGTTGCCTAACAGCCGATAGTTCGTTCATTGGCGCATAGATTTCCTCCAATAGGACGATGACCAGGTTCCTAACACAATTCAAATAAAAGCCCTGACCTATAAGGAGACTGCATGCAGATTGTTTCCTGTAAACACTTTTATTGATTTCTTTGCACCATAAGGGATTATGCTTTGCCATCATTACTAGCCCTAATGGAATAGATGCTGTTTATATGTTTATGGCACTCTGTACAATCAGCTCTCAATTTATCCAACAGCAGAAGATGACTCAAGAATAGATTTTTCACATCTGAAACCAAGTTTCTCGAGCTGGGATGTCCAGTGGAATGAAGTGTTGGAGTTGAACATGCCGGAGTATTACTGAATCCCTAGATGGGGGCTTCTTTGGCCTTGTCTCACCAATGTGACACATGGGGAAAGACAGACCCACGCACACAGAGCACACACATTACATGCACATTCACGAGAAGCACAGACCGAAATATCTACGCCAGCACCCACGCATGCACTTGTGCTTGTTTTAAACTGACGTGTTATCACAATGGCCGGGAAATGGATGAAATTGTGCAGCCATAGTTTAATGGCTCGTGCATCGAGAATGGGTGTTGTGGTGTGGCTTTGGACGAAGGATGGAGTGGGAGGAAGGAAATGGAGATGAGTGGATAGTTGATGTAATGCAGGTGGAGTTTGTGCTGATTATTTCAGGGCTGTTGGGTTACTGATTAAAGCGAAAGCCTGTAAGCCTGGCCATTCTTCTGCATTTGGGGTTTGCTTAATGTCCCGTTAAACCTGCAGTCCTATGATAATTTAAGAGAATCACGGGTGGGCTTCCTGTGGTTAACACACTTAACCAAGTCTGAATGTGAAGGGATGAATGGAGCAGCAAATGTGATTATTCTGGCGGCAGTATTTGACATTGAGCATCAGTGCAGTCACATTGCTCAGATGATTGAACTGCTTGTGAATATTAAAGGATGAAAAAATATAACAGGTTACAGGTTTCTAATGAGCGCAAACAACATTTTAAAGGAGGATGTGAAAAAAGTTTTTTTTTTTTCATACAGGCACCAAAGAGTTTAATTTCAATGCAGGTAATTTATTGCCAAACCCTTGTTTGGACCGCACTGCACAGCATCTGCGGTGAGTGTGAGAGATTTTCTACATTTAGTTGACAATGCTTTTTCGGATGACATTTGTAAATCAGGTGACTTTAATTCATGTAAGAAGGGGAAAAAACCAAGAGGGGAAGGGAGGGATGGATGAATCAGCCAGTAGGAGGAGGGCGAGCCAGAGACAACAAGATAGAAGGAAGGCTCGCAGAGGACAAAGTAGAAGGCGGGTGAATGAGCCAGGGGGGGTTAGTTTTAACAAACCAGCAAGCGAGGCACAAGCAGAGGGAGGAGAGACGGTGAAGAGGCGGGTGTTGCTGCTGTTGCGACTGCTTCTCCTGTCAGTTGGCCGCTGCCCGCCTCACAAGCAGGAGGGGATGCAGAGCAGGAACCAAGCGGAGTGCAGACAGAGGGCGGCCAGTGAGCGCTGCGTTTTGTTTCAGCGCTTCCATTGTCATCTGTGAGGTGCTCTATGAGGAGGTGTGTTTACACTATGGACGCCAATCTGCAGATCCATGGATTGTAAAATGTGAGTAAAGGAAACTGCTGCTGCCAATCTGCACTGATGCATTGGCCGTTTTTAAGTGAGAGTTCTTGCACACCAGGGAATCTGGCATGTCCGGTGTGCTTCCACAGAGGCAGCAAATCAAGACGACCCTGGTGTTTTTAGCTCTTCGTCTCCCATCCTTCTCACCATTTATTCTAGTCTGCTTTTGTGTATATCAGAGCATGCCCCTGTCCTTTGGCTCTCTACAGGAGGGATGCTGGAGGCTAGCGTGGCTAACATTAGCATGACAGCCAAGCCCAGGCAGCTGGACTTCAGGACTTCTGCGGTTTCCAGCCAGGATTCTTCAGCCCATTCCATGGCCTCAAGGAAGCCCCCAGCAAAACCATCTGCTCTACCCCAGGGACCCCCACGTCCCTCCAGGTCAGAGCTGAAGGTCTACCGCCCAGCTGCTGGAGCGATCCCCGTTCCGGTCTCAAATCCATCCAAGCTACGCAAGCAGCGATCACTGAGCAACTTGGCTGTGTTCACTGACGCTGAGAAAAAGCTCCACCTGTACCAGAGTCCCAGGTGGAACGATGACTCAACCCCCCCCGGCTCCGGCACCAACAAAGAAGGGAAGACTACGGCAGGTCGGCCCGTGAGTGGCAAAGCCTCATTATCCAGAACACTTTCAACGTCAGAGCAGTCCCTCTTCCAAGGGAAGCCCAAACCATTCAACTCCCAAGCAGTGACATCAAGTTTGGGCAAGGCGAGCCGAATCCCAGCCCCTGGAAAACCACGGGGACCTTACGCCGAGGTGAAGCCCATTAGCAAAACCTGTGAGGCAGTCCATAGTCCAGGACCAGAACTTGTTGAGAACCCAGTTAAGGCTAATGGAGCCGGTGGTACAGGCAATAATGGCACAAAAGTTGGGGACAAGGGAAGATCTGGTGCCCTTGTCAATGAGGACAAGAAAGAGAATGAGGTGGCAGAAGGGCAAGATGATAACACCTTTTTGAAGGTCGACCCAGAGTTAGTGGTGACAGTTCTGGGGGACCTGGAGCAGCTGCTGTTCAGCCAAATGCTTGGTGAGTGCACTCTCTTCTAGGCCTGCTATGCTTTGGGTCAAGCATGAGACCAACATCACTTCGGAAATGTCTCTATTTGTAGTCCATAAATATCTTTTATTTTCTTATTGATTTTTGTTCTAAAGTACTGTTGGGGTTGACTGCTCGATGGTAAATAATCTCACCATGCTGTCCATATTGGCTTTAACTGTAAAACGGTGAAATGTTGCATGGCTAGTTATGTCAATGCCTTCTTGTTTGGCCCAGATGACATAAGCCGTTTCAAATGATTATCATTGCTTTTTTTTTGTTGATTCATGAGCTGGCATTGAAGCGAGTGGTTCTGACCTGCTCCAAACAACAAAGTATGCAGGAAAAGTGGTTAAGATTGCATGACTGTCTGTGTCTTATGTGTTGTGTTATAGTATTTTGTTATTTTATGTTAACTGTTCTGTAAATCGCTTCGTTACAGCTGAAGCTGTCGTGAAAGCGCTGTATAAATAATATGTATTGTATTGTATTGTATTGTATTGTATTGACCTACCAAATAGCATCTGAGCATATATTCATGTTTAAGTATGTTTACCTTGTCTGCATTCATGGTTAACGCGAGCGTTGTCAGTTGGTCAACAGAGCGTCAGCTTATTGAGTCAGGCTCCAGTCACAGTGGGCTACGTATTTAGCCTCGTACCACTCCCACTCCGCCCTCATGTCTGACCTCCAACCTCCCCTTTTATGTCCATTGATCTCCAGGCTATGGACAGATGGTCACCATCTACCTACCTACCGCCTCCTCCTCCCCCTGTTACCGCGGGCAACGTTTAGGAGAAGAAATTAGTCATGTACTTACTCATTTTGCCAACAGTGGTAGAAATGTCAGTTTTTAAAACTCTTCAGATTTAATATCATTCAAAGAAATCTGTTTGATATTGTCAAATTCTTGTCCTGCACAGCCCCACATTCCCAGCCCGTGTCACCTTACCCTTGCAGTGTGTGTGCGTGTGTGCGTGTGTGTGCGCGCGCGTGTGTGTGTGTGTGTGTGTGTGTGTGTGTGTGTGTGTGTGTGTATACCTGCTGTAAAGGGGTACAGTATGGTTTGTGGAGTGACTTTGCTTGTAGTCACAATCCTTGTTTTGATGCCACACCTATAATCTTGAAAGCCAGGCAGGGCGAGGATGAGGGAATGAAGGGGAGGCGAGAATGTCCATATATTAACATGTGCATGAAGGAATACCTGTATAGAATTATTGCCAAAAAATAATGATAAATGCCACTGGCTCAAAGTTGTGCAGGAATAGACTGATGCTTTTTTTTTTTTCTGCAGTCTTTTGTCACACAAAGCACAGCAGGTGTGTGGGCGAAGTGCCCGTAGGCGCTCGAGTTTTGACGTCTGCCTTTGGAGAGGCTAATTGTAACGTGCGCTGTTGCTTGCGGCTGTGAACGCATCTTTTATCATATCCTCATTTCCACTGGGACGTGAAGCTAATCGGTTTCGGCTCTGCACGCTCTGTCATATAGGAAGATACATTATATGCAGTTTCTCCTCAGTACGCTATCTCATTTGCCCGTTCTTAAATTGATGCGTCCTGTTCTGTGTTATATTAAGATAAATCTTTTACTTGACCCCCATCCTCTTAGCCTTGTCCTGTTTGCTTCTGGCATTGAAATGGGCTCCATCTTGTTTTGTGACAGCTAGCAGTATGCAATGTGACAATGTCCTTTCCAGATGAGCCTTTAGCACTAGGCAAAGATAATGTAGGACACCACTGAGGTCCAATCGAAATGTGGTAACCCACTTCAAATTAAATTGACCAAATGTCTTATTATGCTTATTATGAGAAAAGTCCCAAGATGAGTATGGGGGTGTTAGTATTTCAGGACGGAATACACTAACACTGTATCCCTCGACAAAGGTAAACGTCTAAATGAAAGCCCCATTTGGTAATAACATAAAATAATCGAGTAATAGCATCCTTGTTTTAAATGAGTGTATGCATATGTTGCACATTTTTATCCCACTCAGCATTAACAAGCCAAGCATCAGTGGTGCGCTGGTCAGCTGTGTGCTCAGTGGCATTAGCTTTATCTCTCATAAGTGCAAAATAATGCAAGCGGGGGCTAGGGCCCCTTAGCGGTCGCAGCCAGTTGTGAAACTCCAATTATCCGGTCACCTTCAGCCAATCAATGCGCCAGAACAAAAGTGGAAGCCAGCAGAAAATGGCTTTCATTCAAATGATGCGCACTATATGAACCAAAATAGGAAGAAACATCATGCTCTCAATTGAAGCCGAAAACCAGTCAGCTGATTTAGGCCTGATCCATCATGAGAAAAGATTGAAGATTAGTGTCAGTTTTTCCCTAATAGGGACAATTGGCCAGTTCCACCAATGAGTGATTAAGAGATTTTTGTTAATTGGATGTAGAGAATTACTGAATTTGATTTGTGGTCTATGAGTAGCACATGTGGACTTGGGAGTACTCATCTTCAGAAACGCAAAATAATGCGTACATACATCCAGCGGAGCCTAATTGATTGGTTTAACCGTTCGGTTTCATAAACCTTGCTAATAAAATTCATTACAGGAGCTCACCTCGATTTGAATGTTGCATAGGCTGTTGGATTGCTTCGGTTCAATTGCATTTGAACCTCAGATGTCTTTTTTTTAATGACACCTTCGGGTTCCATCCAGTACCCTTAATGAGGTGTGTGTGTGCGTGTGTGTGTGTGTGGTGTGTGTGAGAGAGAGAGAGAGAGAGAGAGAGAGAGAGGTGGGGGGGGGAGCAATCCCTCAAGCATGGGCCTTTCTCAGCATGAGAGGATCTGTTCTAAGATTCAGCAAGTGCTCAGATTAGTCTTTGCATCAAGATAATGAAAAGATTCAGCCTCCATTGCACTAATCACAGATCTATGATCCTGGAAAAGACCATCAAATTTAAAGGGCATTACAAGTCAAAGCCGAAAGGACATCTGTTTGGATCGAGATTTGGCTTGATGGGGAGTTTTACTTCATGAAGAGCAGATACTGCAGATTTAGGTTAAAGATCACAAGTGTCGTTTTTACATGTGTATTTTCACTGTCGGCTGAGCCCAGGGCGCCCGTACTGACCACAGATACAGTAAAAGACAATGGAGCGACACATGCGTCCTTAAAGGTCGCCTTGAATACCAATGTGCTTCCACAATGCGACAGTGTGTGTATGCGGGCGTGTTTGTGCATGCGAAGGTCTCTCCAGCATCCTTGGCAGCTGTCTGGAGAACAATGATTACTTCAGAGGAGCAAATTTAAAAAAAAAAAAAAGTCGAAGAAATGACTTCCGCGTGTGCCACTAATAGTGTTGTCATATGTTCCCCTGTCTCTATTGTAGGCTCATTCATTTTGGCTACTTTTCATGCATACTCGGCCTGCCTAATTGCACTCATATCGCTGAGTCTTTCTTTGCCGCGTTCGACATTCCAGGCAGTCGGCGCCTCATTGAGGAGGTAACGACACAACAAATAGACACGCTTGCGACATGAAGTGTCCTTTCAGTCCTCCTGCATCCTCTTCAATTCACTCAACTACGATGATAGTTGATGGGACCCAGCACTGTGTCGCCACTCAGACAGCAGAGCAGATACTTGTGACCGACAAAGCACAAGTTGTACTTTAAAAGGGATTGTGTCATCTTGACCCATTGTGGTTGACGATGGTGACCATGAGCAATATGAATACATGCATCATTACGTGTACAATTACTCCCAATGGTTGTACATGTGTGCGTTTGTGTGCTCTTTGCAATGTGTTGTGGTGATTCTCGGAGCCATTGCATTAGTGCTGTCTGCTTCCTGACATCCTCCACCCAAATTCTATTACAGCGCTTCTTGTTTTTGTCTCATCAGCTCTTGCACAACACATGGAGTATTATATACTGTACGTTATGTGTATATGTTTCAGAGGGAGACTAGCAAGATCGATAGATACATTGGATGTTGGAAAATTTGTCTAGAATAAATTAGTCAAGAGCCACTTTGGTTAGATATTATCACAACATAGAAAAGCATGACTCCTTCTAATGTATTTTGCTCTCTATACATTTTCATACTGAGCAGTTTCGGAACTTTAATGTCAGCTGATGTAACACATTTGTATGATCTGAATTGTGTGAGGGATGAAGGCATGAAAGAGTGTTATGTGGGCCACCTTGTGATGAATAGTATTAGTCTTGTCACGTTGTTCTATTTGCGTATTCCTCTTATGATGGCTCTCAGATAAAAGTGCTCATTGTGACAGGATCTTTGTTGTTGCTGCAGGGGCACTGTACCATACACAAAAATTACGAATAAATACAACTCAGGCATACCTGACAAGTGTTGCATTGGATTAAGTCATTTGTTTTCCTCGCTACGAAGGACAGCATTACTGTTTTCTAAGTATATAGGGCAGAGGTTAAGAAGATGGCATTTACGTGCCTGTGTTTACATTTGGTCCAATTTTCAGTGCCTGGACTCAGTGCCAGGCCTGGACTAGTGGGATGAATGAATGTCTTATCTTTGTGCTAAACTCCTCAAGCTTTTCATCTCTCAATATGTGTTCTTGCCAAATGGTTGGTTGGCACGTTGCTTTGTTGTACTTATAGGAGCTCTTTGGGAATAAAAGTACAGTATGGTGTTGTGTGCTGCCTTGCATTGTTGATATGATTTCAAATATCTATGGTCGCAGATGTGTCTGAATATTCTTTTTTCATTCCTCTTGAAAAGTATTGGAATCCTAGAATGTGTCAGTGGAATGGTCGGGTCCACATTTGTTGTCAGTCCAATTCTTTTGCTTTGGTTTTGCAGCACCAATACAGTATACTGCACAACCAGCAGACTGGTTGACACTAATGTCAAGCAGCAGACTATACTAACTTGGATAAGCATGCTTACATTGCTTTAGGTCAAGCTATAACTAAACAGAGCTTCCATTTTTCTTTCCAATCGTCACATATTAGATAACCGTTTCTCCACTTTTAGAGGCCCATCACTTGACTTCTTTGAAAAA